CCGACATTGGACTCTATAGGAGAGGAGGAAGGGGAGAGAGAAGTTCATCATAATGATGATGTAAATGAAGAACCCCTTAGTGATGACAGTGCTGATGACTTATGAGTTCTTATGTGATATGTCATTGCAATTTATTTTTGGAAATTTGAATTATATGTTAATGAAAATAATATTGTGATTTGGGAAAGATAGAATCATAGAATTTTGAGTTGAACTATATTTCATGTTGTCTTATTATTGGGATATTTTGATTTCATTTCATATCTTATGCTTTTTTATATTTTATATTATTCACTCATTAGTATATAAAAAATTTATCATTTTATGTTTACGCAATCTTTTGATTTTGAGGCTTACGCCTCAAAACGCCTTGAGGCTTACGCCTCGCCTCACGAATGAAAAATGCCTCAATACCCAAATACGCAATTTTAAACATTGCTCCCCAGTCCTTGACCCTACAAGTGTAATTTTAATAAAGAATTGCAGTAAAAAGAAGAAATCTACTAAACCTGTGACTGAATATATCCATTTCGTGGATACTATCGATAACGAGGACTTCTTTGAGGATAAAACTGAAGTGATTGAGTCAAACTTCCGGCACGACTTAAAACCTAATCCTAGTCTCCTCGAGGATAACTCTTTGGATAAAGTATGCCAGGACGATAGTAATGTGATCTCGAAAGAAGCCAATCTGGCCTTGAACACATTGAAATTAAATTTGGAAGATCCTGATTTAGTTGTTTCACATACTGAGTTGACTTTGGGTAATTTTGATGGTAATAATCTTGAGTCGGAAGTGGTTCAACTAAACTTACTACCTGATTTAACTCCCGATTTAATTGATCCTGAACCCATTTATCCTGAGTCTATTGAGAATAGTACTATGAATTCGGAAGATAATGATTTGGGTCTGAATGTTTCTGAGCCTATTTTGAAATTTGAATAATGAATCTCCCATTGTTTTATTGGATTTCATTTTAGGAGTTGCTTATCTAGATCTACATTTTAACGAGTGTGTCTTTCTTGATTGGACTTAGCTCTCCATTCCTCGTACCGACAACAACGTTAGAAAGTGTCTTAGCCCATACTCTCACGACATCTCTCCAACTATTGTGCTCACATCTGTTTTGGACACTCTACACCATCTTTTGAATCTCATACCTGCTAGTGACTCTTTGGGCTATCCCATTATGGTTGTGAGTCAGGACCTATCAACTTATTTTGTTCCTGATTCACTCGTTTTGCCTGCTATATACTGGTCCTCTCCTGTTAAGGACAACCTCTCTCCTAGTTGGATGAATTTACTAGATAACACCATTGACCCTGGAGACTACCTACGACCTTAAATGAAACTTCTTATAGAAATGCCCCAGTAGCTAAGGATGTCTTCATTGCTCCCCCTACACCAGTTCCCTTAGACCGAACACTTTAGACCCCCTCTTTTTGTGGCTCTCCACCTTTTCTAGCTATGTGTTCGTGTGAGTTAGTATATTGTTTTGTGTGTTTTGTAGTCTGTTGTCTTCCAAAGTTTTTTGTGTTTAAAGTTTGTGTGTGAATCCAATTTTCATTCATTTTGCATATCAAATCTCTTGCACCACTTCATTCTCATATTAGTTATCTTGTTGAGGCTTGAGTTTTAGACATATAAGTTTGCATAGCACATGCCGCATTTACATCGCATCCGCATGACCGACATATGGAAATTGCACGCCTAATTGAATAGAACGATAATAATTATAGACTTTGTGCTGAATTCAAAAACGACAACTTAAAGCTTTTGAGGTTGGTAATTCAGCGACGGTGCGGATTCGTCCGGCGCAGTTCCCCAAGGAACTATAAAGGAATCACATGCTAGAAGTGCGGGACCAATTAAAACAGTCAAGAAAATCATTGATAGCGCTTACGTGGTGGCTCTGCCTACAGAGTTCAACATTTATCCCTCTATTAACATAGAAGATTTAGTAACCTATGAGGGTCCAGAGTTTAACCCACCACCTCCACTTTAAATTGAGCGTTGTGTGACCTCACCCTGTGAGAACCCCAACCTACCTCCACTCCCCAAATATTCCCAAATTACCTATAGCGGAGAAGGTTAGCATGATTCTGAGTGATGACACTATTTCCACAATTGAGGGTGGACAAAGAAGATAGCAGATGAGGTGGAGAGGAACACCAGAGTCAAAAGAGACATGATCAGAGCGCAAGGAGATACAGCTGACCGATTCAGATACACAAGAGTTCTTGAGACACCCATTCGACGGAGTCGAGTTTTCTCCCACGTGGGGAGAATGATGAGGACATCGAAGATCAACGGCTACGATCGTGTCTATTTATTTTGATATATTTTATGTATTTGATTTGCTATTATACTTTTCCCTTTCTACCCTCACTTGAGGACTTTGTCTTATGTTTGCCTATGGGCAATTGTATCTTTTTATTTTCATTCATGTATTTGGCTATTTAAGCCTTCTCCCTCCTCTTGGAGAGGATGATGATTATTGCTAATTAACATTTTGGTTTTGGAACTCTTTGGGAGTTCTAGAGTTCTCTTTGTGAGTTCTCAGGTGAGGAAAGCTTAGGAGAGGCTCAAAACAATACCTAACATCCCCTTGGTGGAGCTCTTGGTTTTCTACCTAATTTCTTTTTTCTTCCCTCTCCCCTAGCCGCCGGATCTTTCCCCACCACCCCTCCACTTGGCCGGTCAGCCACCCAATCCCTCCCCCATGCCATTAACCCTACATTCAAACCCTCTTCCACCCTAATTTTTTCTTGCCACTGTCCATACTGGACTGGCCAGACCGCCGGCCCCCTAACAGCCTCTGCCCGCCAGCCTCCCTACACCGTCCCTAGCCCAGATCCTTGCCTTGGTCGCCGGCTTCCCCCTTCCCCCTCCTTTGAATTTCAAAATTTGAAATTCCAATTGGTTTCAAGAGGCTGTGAATGCTTTCCAAATTTAGCTCCTTGATTTAAGGCTTCCATATTGTTTGGATCTAATTTTGAATGATCAATTCAAATTATTTCTAATGAGAGACTCAAAATTTGGGTAACTTTCCCTATCATAAAATCTGAGAATTAATTTAGATTTTTTACTTTCCTAAAATAGTTCCTTGATTTTAGGAAATCATCTTAGTTGAATTTCAATTCAAATTTGAAATTCAAATCTTCCCCAATTGATTACTCATCTATTTGGAAACTTTCCTATTTTACAAAATCTAAGAATCAATTCAGATTTTTTTTTCAAATATTAGATTAGTAACATGGGCCCCACGTACTTATGATTTCTAAATCCTATTCCCCTCTCTAGGTGGTCGGCCATTCACTGGGCTCCATCTCTCTCATAGGCTATTAATTGCTACCCAATTTCCTCCTTGATTCCTGTTAAACCGCCGGCCCATTATGGGATGGTTGCTGCTCAGATTTTTTGAGTATAATGTTGCTGTCCAGAACAAAATTCAGCCGTAAAAGCAGCTGACCTGCTGCCCACAAATCCGGGTTGCTGCCCAACGGCATCCGGAAGAATTCCAGCGAGGGAAACTTGAATTTCTGCCTCCTAAAACCTTCAAACTGCTGACCGCTCTTCTACAACTTGTTGTCTACTGATTCTACAAATCTCCTAACACCATACCTTCATCCGGAAGGTTCCAATTGAGGTCCAGAATCTGTCCAAATCAAAACTGCTGCTGTCTTGAAGATCCACACCTTGTCTTGGCTAATCGGTGGTGCAAAGAAGCTCATGGTGGCTGTCCTAGTCGTCCCCAACACTCAAACCATCCTGTCGGAGTGTGTATTTCTCTTGTCTTTGGGTAAACTCAACATCCGATTCGCTATCTTCATAGTTACATCCTTGATTGTGGTTATTATTATAGTCATGAAGATAATGTCAATACTTCTCCGCTAATGCCTAGAAATTGAAAGAGTTGAGTGAAGGAACTCATGCATAGTGCCTAATCTCATTTTTAATTTAGGGATTTACGTTGAAACATTCATGTATGCAATGTTAGATTAAATTGACTGTTTTCTGACCTTAAAATTTTTATGCACGTGATTCGGCCTAAGCTCGTCTTACCGCTCTTAGTGTTTTATTGCGACGTTTAAATTCAATGCAAAGATATAATTATTGTGCTCTAAAAATTTAAGCGTGCAAATTCATTATGAAATTCATCTTCGCATGTACGTTCCACATCAGAGATGGTCTTAGAATGAACTCACCTATTTAAGGAAGTTTCCTCCTTAGAAATCTCATCCTTAGCTTAAACTCACAAGTTTTCTATGTACTTAAAAAGCTATAAACTAACAAGACTTATAGATTTTACATCAAGTGATTGTCAAGTCTTGCTATGTTATTTTATTTATATCACTCAAATGTAATCTTCCATATATCACTTGAATTTCAACTTCAATCTATAAAAAGAGGGCAACGAATGTGTCTGACATATTCAATGATATCTAGTCACATAAGGGCACACCCTAGCTGTGAATCCTAGAGCCTCTGTTTGTGTCTCTCATATAGAGTTGGATCCAACTGCAACAATTAATTGTTCCTCTAATTCAATAACGTTCATGCGAGTTTGTGTAGGTCCCCCCACAAATTTTCTTTTAAACAACTTCAAAATGGACGTGTTCAAGCTCATTTATTAACATACTTACGAATAGAAAATCAATTCATAAATGCGCTAACTTATTTCTCATCCAACTTGTGCTCCAAAAAAGATGACGCATGTTTGAACAGGGATTTCTGAAGGCTCTAGCTGGGATCGAGCTCTTAACAATTACTTCATAGCAAATCTAGTTTGCGAAGGGCTACACTCAGAATCGATTACACCGGCACATATCAACAACATTAGGTTATCAAAAACAAAGATCCAAGTTTACTTCAGTCAACGCAAAATTATCTAGCATAGAATCCATTTTGGGCAACCAAACAACCACTCCAGAAGAGGCAATTCCAAGATAAACCAAAAAAATAAGCATATAAAAATCGAGGAAGTAAGGATTGCTACCATTGGGTATACATATCAAGTACGACGATTTTGGGTTCGGCGGCCTTCACGATGGGCCAGAATGTGTCCTTATTCACTTCCGTCACCTGCCCGACGGTCGGCTCTACCATCTCCAGGCTTGAACGCACGGGTGAAACCCTAAGCCCTCTCCTCCCATCCCTCGACATCATCCCTGCCGTTCTCCGGCCCGAATCCGCAGGTAACAGCCGTTGCTGAGGGCACCACGCTGCCACCGCCGGCGACGGATGAGAGGTGGAGCTGCGTAGGGACCCCGAAGGAGAGACGGAGATGCGAAGCGCCATTATCGGAAAACGAAGGAGAGAGAGTGCGAGCTGAGCCTCTTAGTGGTGGTTGAGTTCTATGCGTTTAAGGTCAGTGGCGGAGAACCTGAAGATGAAATGAGACGAAAATGGCCTCTGCGGCTCTTATCAGAGCTTCGGATTTGTCTCGAATTCGACAGCAATTACAACGTTTTACTTAGGGCATTTTAGTCATTTAACTTTCAGTTGGCAGCTGATTTCTGTCCACAAACTGCTGATCTTTGCTTTTTTGCGCCTGAATTTTGAGGTTGTAACGAAACATGGCATTGAGACCTTGGAATTTGTTGCGTGATCTCCAAAGCTTAATGAGGGGGTGATTGTGGAATTTTTATTGCGTCTTTCCACCTGATGTAGCTCTACGTCAGGTAGCTAATAAACAGGCGTCACGTGCTCTTACTCTTTAACGCGCGATCCGACGACCCGACGACCCGACTCAGACCGAAATCAAAGCTTGGTATTGCGTATTGCTCAGTATTGCGTATTGCTCGGTATCTTCAACCTATGCTGGTGATCTCCGCAATTAAAGCTCGGTATTGCGTATTGCTCGGTATCATCCACCGCACTAGCCTTCACCGTCGACGGTAGGCCGACGCTACATCTTTTTGGCAGCCGGGCTTCCCGTCTCAAACAAGTCATTTTTGGCAGCTGGGCTTCCCGTCTCAAACAAATCGATGAGTAGAATCTTCACCTTGTTGGAGTCCAGAGCAGAGAGGGTGAACAAGGCGGTGGCGGCGTTACCCTCCGATGCATTTTTTGTTGGCATCGTGGATGGAGAAGTTGATCAATGCGGTAACGGCATCTTCCCTGAAAACCCAAAATTCTCACATGTAACATCTTGGCCAAGATTTGTAACGTCAAGCACATTATTTCTTGAAACATATCAACCATTCGTAATAATATAAACCACATTCGTAACCATGACTCTGAGTAGGTATTATTAACCAGTATAGCAATGTTTCTAGGTTGATGCCTAACTTTTGAGGGAGCACCGGCAGCGGATAGAATGGAGAGAAGTTGGGAAATGGCGGTATGGTCTTCGCCGACGAGAGCGCGGAAGGATCGGCTTCGTTTGGTGAGCTGTCGGAGTGATTTCAACGCCTGTTTGCGGTCGGTCGGCGAAGGGGAAGAACAATACCGAGCAATACCGAGTTCTTTTAGGTATTACTCGGTATTGCTCGGTATTGATCTTCACAAAGAGGTATTTCTCGTTATTGTCCAGCAATACCGAGTAATATCTAGCAATACCGAGCAAATACCAAGCAATACGCGAACATAGTAATCCTGGATTACGGTCCGAGACGGTTCGTCGGGTCGTCAGGCCGCGCGGTTAAAAGTAAGAGCACGTGGCGCCTGTTTATTGGTTACCTGGTTTAGGGTGGTTGGTTGGGAACCCCCATTTCGGGATGGATTCCGCCCTACTACAGTCTCACCTCTAAAGTAAGTGTGGGTTCAATGCTGATGGGTGGCCTCGCTATGTTCCGCCGAGGGCTTAGTTATGCCGCCAAATGCTCCCTTTGAAGTGGTAGCGGGTAGATACCATCGTTAAAAAAAAAAAAAAAAGATTTGGTGATCGTACGAAGGCTACCATAAGCTATTAAAGAGGCTAAATTTTTTTATCATATTTTTTCTCCCACCCATTGGTAAACTAATTTTTTTTCATATATTTCATTTGTTTAATTATAATAAATATTGTAATTACAATAATATGATAATAAAAAATAAAAATAATAATAATTTACATGTTATATATCTTTTTTAATGGATATATATGTTTATTATACTTTAAATTTTATGATAGATTAAGGGCAAGTTGGGAGTGTTTTAATGGACGGTCGATATCAATTCCCTCAGTTATGAATCATTTATCAAGCATTTAAGTGTCTTAATGATGTCAAAATTTGGCCATCTTATGCTCGTTGGATTTCAAATGTGAAGCCGATCGATTCAACTATAAATATTTCACATTTGGATATTATTTGATCATCCAGTTAATGTTCTAAAGCTTTTAAATAGGCTTCGGGCCCTTGATTTGAACTCATCTGGGTTCATATTTAACCGATTGTTGTGTCGTTGGATTCGTCTCTTCGACACATTCATTTTTTCCTTAAGTTTGTTGAAATCAAAGCTTGGATGGTCATAGAATTAATTTTGAAAGTTTATGAGTCATATTTGAATCAAGAATCGTGTCCGATCAAGATAATTGTTTGACGACATATCAATAATAATAATAATGACCACCTATATGTGTTGACAAGCATTTTTTTCATATGTTTAAATTGATTATTTTGAAAAAAATTTAAAAAGTATATTGCTCACCTAATTCACACCCTCTTTATGTGTCCTCAGTTATCATGAATGACTTAACTTTTTCTTGGGGATTTAGATAAGTCATTATGATAATGATGCCTTCATATATCAGATAAAGTATGCAAATGAATTATGATAAATCAGGTAAATAAATTAATAATAAGTTTATAGAAATATGATAGGTTTCACACATATATTATACTATTAATTGGCAATAGACCTAGTGTTGTATTTTATGTATGTTTCTATGGCCATTTGTAGGCCAATTTAAAGGAATCATATCTAACACAAGAAATAGTGTGTTTTATTATTTGATAAGCTTATATATATTAGATTTAATATATTCCAAAAAAATTATATCTTATGACTTATTGACATTTTTCAAGTTGTTATGTTGGTTGACTGATTGGCTATGATATGTGATCCAAAAATGACTTAATTAGTGTTAGTATGAAAATTGTTATGTTTTAAGTTATCTTATTTTGCATTAAAATGGTCTTACTTTTATGATTTTGTGCATGAAAAATAGGAAAAAAAATACCTATCACCATGGCGCCTAACTTTGGAGTACCGTGGATTCAATATGACATCAAGATAAAGAGCAAGATGTGGCAACGTGCAGGTCCTCAGTGCGACAATGTAGTCCAAGCACTGCAAGTCAAATTGTCATAATACTGCAGCGTTAACAAGGATGCGACAAAGCCAAATTGTCAATATGAAATCATCGATACCAAGAGTGCCCTCATTTGAGTCCAAAGAAGTTCAGATCAATAATCAAAGTATAATTGAAATTTTAGAACATTAATTAAGGGATCGAATGATCTCAAAATCTTACAAGCTTATAATCAAATCGAGCATATCAACAAGATAAATCCAACAATCCTAAGACTGCTAAATTATGAAATCATTGAGATACTTAAATGTTAAAAGAATGATATATGGTCAAAGAAATCAATATGAGTTGTTTGATGAAGTATTATGAATTCTAGCTATATTAATGGAGCATGCCACTCTTAAGAACTATAAATAGGTTGCATTCCCTATATGAAGGGGATCATTGGTATGAGATTCAAGAGAGATCGTAGGATTGAAGAATCCCAAAGATCTATTAAACTACTGCCCAACCATGATCATTATACCACCGTCTGATCATCATTGTCAAACCATTGATTGGCCACCGTTGTCATATCACAATCTCTTGACTAAGATTATTCTAACAATCATTGTTTGATTTCATTTATTTAACCACCATCACCCAACTACTATCACTCGACCATCCATGCATGACTACGATCCTCTGACCATAATGTCTCACTATAGTTTTTTAACCAACATCACCTGAATTTAATTCTCTTAATTACTCCAATTATGTTTCTTTGACAACCATTTCTTAACTTTAGTCATTCGACCATCATTGACTAACTTCGATCCTTTGACCACGGTGTTCAACAATAGTTCTCTAACCACAATTACCCTATTATGATCCTCTAGCCACAATCACCTAATTATGATCCTTTAATCACCATCCCCCGACTTCATTCTTTGACAATCATTTGCTGACTATGGTCACCCAACCACCAATGCCTAACTATGATTTTATGAATACCATCACCTAATTATAATTCTCTTAGCCATCATTCTCTGACTCTATTTTTTTATCATTATTGCCTGATTACAATTCTCGTACCATATTTTCTTAACTATAGCCCTCCAACCACCATTGCTCGACTACTATCCTTCAAACATAAATGCTTGCTACACTCCTCTGATCATCATCTTTTAAATATGATCCTCAAATCATCATTTCATCATCATCACTCTACCAGTAACACTTAACTGCATTTATTTGACTATCATCACTAAACTATAACTCTCTTAATCACCATTGCTTGACTCCAATCCTTTGACTATAATTACTTGATTACAATTACTCGACTATTGATGCCCAACTATAGTCCTTTGACCAGCGTCACTAGACTATAATTTCTTGATAAATTTCATTTGATTATGATCCTTTGAAAATCATCACAAACTATAGTTGCCTAAATATTGATGCCCTACTATGGTCTTTTAACCAATGCTGTCAAGCTATGGCTCTCATAATTATCTCCTCCCAACTCTAGTCTTCCAACCATCATTACTCAATTACGATCCTCTAACTACTATCACTGGAACACAATCCTTCGACCATCATCACTGACTTATAATCCTCTAACCATTATAACTCGATTATGGTCATCTGACCATTATAGGCCAATTATGATTCTCCGACTACCTCACTCGATTATGATCCTATAATAAATTTTACCTAATTACAAACCTTTTGACTTCCTTACCCAACTATGGTCCTTTAACCAATGTTACTTGATTGTTATTATCCAAATACCATCATCTAACTACATTTTTTACCATTATCACATGGTTATATCCCTTTGACTATAATCCCTTAACTACATTATCTTAAACATTATCACATGACTATGATTCTTTGACCATTATCACTCGACTATAGTTCTCTAATTCCATTGTTAAACTTTAGACTTTTGATCACCATCGCTTGATTACAGTCTATCGTAACCCAACTACGATCTCCTAAATATTATAGCTCAATTATGCTCCTTTGACCACAATTGTCTGACTATAATCTTTTAACCATTATTACATGAGTATGGTCCTATAACCACTATCGTCTAATTATAGTCCTTCAATCATTATTATCTAACTATGATTAATATACCATCATC